TCCCAGGGATTGGCGTGGTCGAATGCTAAAACACAAGGTAAAGTTGCACATTTTGGCGGACACACACAACGCTTCCCAGGGATTGGTGTGTTGCACATTTTTTCCAGCATTTGAGTAGCCCTTCCTAGTGATTCGTGTGGTCAAACACAGGAACGCGAGGTACAGTTGCATCTTTTTCCGACCGTTCGGCTCCACGCATCGAAAATTACTATGGATTGGCGTGGTCGAGCGACTGAGCGCGAGGTAAAGATGTGACTTTTCGGGTTGCTGCGGGGTTCGCGCGCGTACAAAGCCATCGACAGAAGTGACGATAAACATAGACTGGAGATACACGTAGAGTCCATAGAGTCAAGTACATTGAGCTATAAACATAGAGTCAAGCACATATAAGGTATCGTAAATAAACCCTAGACCCCAAGTCTATAACTAATGATGGATGGTGAACATAGAGTCACGATAAATATAGAGTCAAATATATGTAAAATATAGTAAACTCTAAACCATAAGTCATAATGATAATAGATAATAAACATAGAGTCACGATAAATATAGAGTCAAATACATATAATATAGAATCGAAACGAGATATAATATCCGGAGACTCAAATATCGAGTATCCTAAACCCTAAATTCTAAGCCTGGATTTTGTACTTAATGACTCTATACACGTCATTCCATAACAACATATGACTCTATGCACTAGATTCTCTGTACTCTTGTGACTTAATTCTATGACTTTATATATTGCACTCTTCTTAACGCTAAATTCTTCGCCAATAATATTTTCGAGCCACGTGTCTTCTAGTATTAGATCCATAACAGAAATAATTACTTTTCAATATTGCTAACAAATAAAAATAAATCATTATGAAATTAAAATAACGATTCTTATACGAATAAAGAGAAGAAAACTATATAAAATCTTCACAATATAAACAAATTATATTATTTTATAATCTATATTATTTAGAAAAAAACAAAATCAATTACTTATCAATTTTTCATATCATCATTTTTATATGACAAAGAAATTAAATAAAATCAAATTTTTTTTTAGATATGGGGGTTATTTCTATACTAAAAATATTAGACATAATTCATACTAATCTTAAAACAAGTACTCTTTATTATTACTAAAATCATATATATATATACTTTTTTGTTATAGAAATACGATACGAAATTAATAACAAAAGTTCACGATTCCAAAATAATTTTCGAATCACCTCATTTCAACAATAAGTTCCTAACAAAACTTCACGATTCCAATATAATTTTCGAATCTCCTTATTTCAACAATTCAAGAATCTTATCTTTTTTTTTTTTATCAAGTAGAAATTAATATTAAAATCACCATATTCGCGCTCATTTTTCATTCAAAGAATACGAATTTTTCCAATTATTATGAAATTCATAATAAAACCCAACCATTGCTTCCTCCAGAAAAATATATTAACCTCAAATCTCGATATTTATAACAAATAATACAAACAACGAATTCCCAACGTCCATTACAAAAAAAAGAAGTATTGCTAAACGAAAAGTATAAAACTTATATAAGAATCAAACAAAATTCCAGAGATCCTATAGACTAATTACCAAAATAAAAGTATCCAGAATATTCTGAAAATAGCTAGAATCGGCTTTCTATTAATATCAACTATTTGTATAAAAAATCATCAAAAAAAATATCATAAATAACGCTCCCGAAATAAAGTATTTTCATAATTAATCTCCTACCAATAACTCTTACACCACCCTTACGCCAACTCCCAGACCCCGAGCACCTCCTTCTACTGCGCACTCAAGAATCAAATGAATAATACAGAAATATCTTAAAATCTCATATATCAATTCAATGATTTTTATATTGAAATCAAAATTAAGATTATTCTAATCAACTTATAATGAAAATTAGAATAATAAATAAATGCTCAAATGTATATTCCAAGTGGTGTCTCTCTACCATTCTGAAGAGCTAAAGCTGTGTATTGGCTAAGCGCTTCCGCTGAAGAGGAAGACTTTGTTTTTGGAGTGCCAAAGGGCAGCAAAGCTCAAGCAAAGCTACCACTCTGACCGTAAAGGCTGAAACCGGCCGGAAGTCTGGAGACGAGACCTCCTAAGTTTAAACTGCCAACATGTGCTACCACGTCTGCTGCATGAGCGGTGCTTGGCAGTCTATCTGGCCACAGGTGGCGCAGTCTTATGCTGCATTGTTTCGGTGCCCCTGCGGCATGACACTGGGGGCTCTCTTTTGTGCTTGCTTTTTGTTGCATTCGGGTTCAGATGCAACTATCTTCAAAATTGGAAAGCACACCTGTAGACCAGGCAGCTCATGTGTCCTAATCTTCCAAATCAATGTCGTCATCGCAACACAAGGCGTCGTCGGCACGAATTCGAGCCATCAGTGCGGCTGCCTTGTACCAGTAGATGCTGAAGGTGCCTTCGTTGCCCCAAAGCTCATTTTCGACGCCTTCGAAACTGTTGCTTCTAAACTTGTGTAGCAACTTGTCGCGCGAGATGCACCAGAGGCACCCCATCACGGGCCAGAATCCAACGTGTGCATCGTCCCAGTCAGTTCTTGCAAAGAACAGGACTTTGTCCGCGTCAGCAGCTCGCAGCTTTTTGACGCCAAAGAAATCAGCTGCGTCTTTGGTGAGTTCGACTTTCAGCTCGCCATCGAACAAGTCCTCCGCCATACTTCTCTTTGACCCTTCTGCTAAACAGCTGCTGTGTGGGTAGATAAGAAGCCCAAGACAGAAGAACAGGCAAAGCTACCGACATGTCTGGGATTTTCAAAGGATGTTTCCGAGCCTTTCGAGAATCAGCCTGCCTAGAATAAGCTCCAAATTGGAGTCCTGCTCATCATCCAACAAGAGCCAATTCAAAGGATCGACGTACTGCACCTCCTCCGCCACGCGACATTTTCTTTGCGTCGGCTCACCATCGTCATTGTCCTAAGCTGTGCAAGGATCGGCAAAGAGGCGCTTAGGGAACCAATGAAAGGTGGCAACTCTCTGAGAAGACAGGTGGCAAGAACTTCGTGCACCAATTTCACTTCGCGAACCTGGAGCTCCAATCCAAGCATTTCCATGGCCAACCACAATGTCCGGTCGCGGCCGACAAGTCTCCGAAAGTCCACGT